CTTCTATCAGATGGGACAATTTCAGTAAAATACTGATTTTTTAATTTGAATTTTATTGATTTAGCAGTCTGATCTGATTTTATTTTGTCTCTGTAAGCACATAAGAATTATAAGCCTACAGTTTATATTTAGTCCTACGTCATAGTTTTGAAAATATCATTCTGATGTTCATAATTTAAGTCAACTCTAGTGAACTATGAGATTCTTTTTCTCTCTGAAAAGAAAAATGATATTCAAGTTTCAGAAACACTGTTTAAACACAAGGCCTTATATCAGAGGGCCAAACCATGAATGAGAAAGTTACAGCCAAAGTGAAGAAGAGTGGGGACAGCCACACTGCCATCTTGGGAGGTGGAGTTATCACCAGGAAACTGCAATGTGCTGGAAAAACCTAGACGTCAGCATCTGCATGAGACTGCAATGTGGCATGTGCTCAATCAATTCCACGTCAGAGAACCAAAGGAAAAGGGCAGAGAAAGACCTCGCATGTGTCCAGCAGAACTTGCCTAGACAACTGCTAACAAGACAATACAGCCTGCATAAATAAGCTGTGTGTGTGTGCCACCAAACCTTCCCTTTGCTGAACTGAGGTGGGTTTCAGCACATAGGTGGACAGTGAATGGGCTAAGGGAAACCAACAAACTTTATCCTATCTGTTGGCACACACCGGAGAGGAAAGCTGTGAGAAAACAAAGTCCTACAGGATAGGGGAGGTTTATTTTTTTTTTTGGTGCCGAGGACCGAACTCAGGGCTTCCAGCTTGCTAGGCAAGCATTCTACCACTGAGCCAAATCCCCATAAAAGTGAAAGGAGACATCATTCTAAAGAATGGGGAAAAAGTCTTTGAAATGAATTTGCTACAGACACCAAAGCCAATGTAGGAAACTGGCACTGTCCTTGTGACACAAGAAGATACAACTCATATGAATAGTAAGGAGCTATAAGAAGACAACAGGTTACAATGTTAAGTACAGCAAATTGAAATCAAAAGACAACAAAGAGATTTTTTTTTTTAAAGGAAGCATAAAAGTTTCCATTAAAATCTTAAGGTTAATTCTTCTTTTAATTTTTTGATGATGATCTTCAAACAGGACAAGACAGACATGCTTGAGGTCAGATACTTTTTCGTGAAAAGGGCTAGGAAGCAAATATTTTAGAATTTGTGGGCCTTTCTTAAAAGGCATAATTTAAACCCCTAATGGAATTAGTAAAAAACAAAAATGGCACTGCTGAAAATTAGTAGTACAGAACACAAATAAAAAATAAAAAGGCAAGATACACACACAGAGTTTTCTAAGGAAAAAAAAAGACATATCTAAAGTATTACATAAAGTATTTTGATAGCCAACACCAAAACCCCCTCAAAATATGGGAAATGACTTGAAGAGATGCCTTGCAAAGAAAAAATATTAAAAAATAATGTGCAAGGAGAACATGAAAAATATTCAACATCATTAGTCATCAGAAAATACAAAATAAAACCATAATAATATTTCATACTCAAAGGATTAAAATTCAAAGGATTGACATGATCAAGTGCTTGCAAAGATAAGCGATAACTAATAGGAACACAAAATGACACAGCCACTTTGGATATGACGTGCAGACACTAAACCGTAAGTTTAAGCTTAGGAACTTACATATGTATACTTACCATATTACCTAGCAATTCCACTCTTTGGTATTTACTCAAGAGAAATGAAAACTATATCCACAAAAATATTTCATAGATGGTCACAGCATGTTTTTCAAAATGACACAAACAACCCAAAGAGTGTCAACAGTTAAGTGGATAAACTGTCTTATTCATACAATGGATCACTAATCATACAAACTAGCAAACAAAAACAAGCTATCAACACCAGCAACAATGCACATCAATCTCACAATCACTATGCTACACACCAAACAGTATACACTGAATGACTCCATTTGTTTGAATCTTAGAAGAAATAAAATTGATCTATAGAAATGGAAATTAGATCAGTAGCTGAGTAAGGTAGGAGTAGGGAGGAATCAGTGCACCAGTACAGGAGAATTTGTAGGGTGGTAGAAATTATATACTGTACATATATTGTATCTGTCAAATCTCAATGAACAATGCATTTTAAATGTTTGCATTTTTATATGTGAGTTTTACTTTAATAAAATTGATTTTTTAAAAGGTACCACTTAGATTTGTTCTAAGGTTTTGAAATACATTATATGCTTTTAAAAATTCTGAGCATTTAGGTAGCAAAATAAGATGACTTTCACAGATTAAAAATATTTCATACCTAATTTCTCTTTAGAAATATTAAATACAATAGTGAAAATAATTACAGTTACTAAAGAGAGAAAGAAATTACTCAAGAAGCTCAGATCTAAGTAAGAATCGTTCTTAAGTGAATACAACTGAAAGGCAATCTAAACATGAGAGGGTTGTTCAGAAAATATACCATAAATCCACTCTTCTAGAAAAAATATTGAGGCCTTTTCCCAGCCACATGAAAGACAAATTCAAACTTAAGAGCTCAAGAATTAGAATTTTACTTATTAAAAGCATTTGAGGCTGAATACATAAACTAATAATAGTAATTCCTAGAAGATATGATATAGAAACAAAATATAGTGATATTAGCTCTAAATCCCAGATTTTATTAATTACAACTAGAGAATATTTGTGAAGTAAATGCCATAAATTTCTTATTTAATATAAAACAGAGTTCAAAGCTTTTAGTTAGCTAAATTGTGAAACACTTCCTTGTGGAATCCTCTACAGCCTTAAAAATGAGGAAGCTCTTTATTTTCTAATATGAAATATCTATAACATAAATTTATTCTAAATTTTCCATGCAAAAAATTTATTTACCATTTCATGACTTATAAAGCAAAAAGGAAAAGTTTATCAAAAATAAAAAAGTAGCCTTGGCTGCTTTAGGCAATAGATTAAATAAAAAAATAAATTTTATTGAAAATGTTTTTGCCTTTTTTCATTTATAAGTAAACCAGGTATATATTATCTATTTTTTAAAATGAAGTTTTTAAATGTATTATTTGTTTTGCTTTTAGAAGTCAAGTACTCAAAATTTTAAGACTGAATATATATGCAACCCTAGCTCAAGATAAACAAGGTATCACAAACCAAAAAAAGATAAAATAACCTCAGAGATACTGATTTCTACTTGAAAAAAATTAATTTTCATTTCACAGCTATGCTGAGAATAAACCACAGAGAGTAAAGAGTTAAGTTATAAAACTTAAACTATAATAATATTAGAAAGCAGGTGAATTTTAGGTGAAAGATTTTTCTCCAAAATTCGATAATTTTATTTCACAAAAATCAAAATCTCCTATTGATCAGAAACATATAAAACTAAAAGCCACACTAACTGGCACATTTTTACAACTGTGATAAGAAATTAATCTCCCTTAATCCTCCACTATTTAAGCCAATCAAATTTTAAAAGAATAAAACAAACTTTTTGAAAGCCTCACTAAATCCTCATTATAAAAATGAACAAATGATATGAACACTTAAGAAATAAAAATGAGACGTATAAGAACAAATGAAAAACCCACTAATAACCAAAGTAATCCAAATTAAAATGCAACCCTCTCTTGCCTAGGTGCTAAACAAATTTCCAAGAAAAAAAACCCTTATGATCATTGACAAGTATCATAAACTGGCACAGTCATTTGGAAAATGACAAGAAGTATGTACCAAGAGCCTTGTATAGATGTTCCAAATTTAGACTCTCTAATTCCGGTTTTATAAGCTCTACATAGGAATTTAATGCAACTTTACTTAGAAATAATACCTGGTAGCAATCAAAATATCTAACAATATGTGAGTGTTACATTCTGATATAGTCATAAACAAAATATTGTACAACATTAAAATTTAATTTAAAAGAACATAAAAAATATTAAACATATACCACAAGTAAAAAAAGCAGAATAAATACTTATTATATCTATGGTGACAATTTTGAATAATTCCAATTGTACATACAGATGATAGTGGAGGAAAAGAAACAAAATGTGAAAAATAATTTTCCTTTTCTTTATGTATTTGGCACAAGGTCACACTACACAGGTAAGACTCCTAGTAATCCTCCTGTTTTCAGTCTCCCTACCGCTGAGATTACAGGAGTGCACCACCACACCCAGTCTCACTTGCTAGCTCAGTGCACTCAGGGGCAGGGCCAGTGCAGCATGTGCCTGTGGGGACTGAACAGGTCCCTGTGCTTGCCTAAGCAGGTGTTTAGTCCACTGAGCTATCTCGCTGGCTCTCATATTTCAAAAGTTATTTAACCTTATTTTTTTTTTCTTTTCTGAAAACTTTCAAGTTTCTAAAACAAGCCATGTGTGAAGAAGCACCATATTTTAAATAAACAAATAATTTTGAAGCTACAAAAATTTATCTGGCATCAACAGGCTCAAGATCTCAACTGAAAGAGTTAATTACTGAATATCCAATAATTCACAAAATCTGGACAATGAGATAGCACTTGTCATCCATCCTTCCAAGAGGTCCTTGGTTCAGAGCTTCACATAGGTGAAGAGTACACAGAACAGATCCTATGCCAGGACAACTTCATGGGCTGGCCAATGGGAACTCTGTCTCTCAACATAATGAATAACCATGTACATCTATCATGTCCAAACCACAGATAAGTAAGTCATTTGTAATGGTGTTTCCATGATGCACTCGCCTGCTCAGAAAGTCTTCAACCAAGACCACCCACTTATGACCCACAAACCACCAGGTGAAAGCAACTGCTGAAATAAACTATGAACTGATAACTGTGGTGAAGAGCCCCAAATCCCACGCCCAGACTCCCCGGTGCCCTTCTCCATCCCCTGCTTATTTTCTCTGGCAGGATGTTTTATAGTATGTTCATTTCCAACCCAACTAATAAAGCAGCTCTTTAAAGTTTAGAAAAACAGTGCTTATTGGGTTCTTGGGTCGAGCATGTGTGCAGTACATAAATAAGCAAAGAACACATGTATAGTACCTTCATGAAGCTGTGTCGGCTTGGCAGAATTTTCTCCACTCATTAAAACAACAAAAGAGGCAGCTGCTCGAACTGTAGCCTGCCATGTTGACATGGCAACGGGTGGCTCCTGGCATGGAAAAAGGGCCCTGTTGTTTATGGGAGATCCCATCGTATAAACACATGGCCTGCAGAAAAAAGACAAAGACACAAAGGAAGAGAATCTTTAAAATCAGTTGTCACTTTTCTCACTACCATGGTAGTGAAGGTTAAGTTGAGCTTTCAAAGTGAAAACATTTGAGGCTTTTGTAGTTGACTGGTTTCAAAGCATACTGAACTGAAACTGCCAAGGGGCTGGGTATGTGAATAGCTGACTGGTTACTTCTCACAAATGAATTACTTAAACATGTAAAGAGGATTTTTTAAGAAAAAATATTTTGGGATAACATTTTAAATATAAGTCTGCCAAGTTAGAATTTGTATTACCCATACCCCCTCTCCTTAGGCCCTTATGTCTTAAAAAAAAAAAAAAAAAAAAAAGTTTTAGAGACATTCTTACAAGCTTTTTGGAAAGTATTCTGGAAAAAAAAAATGTTTGGAGATCACTGAGATATTAATGCTTGGAAAAACAAGCCGGTGGTCTCAAATCCAGTGCTGGCGGGCAGTTACCCCCAATCTTGGAAACCACCTTCTCAAATGGAACCATTGTGGGAATCCTTGTGTGAATGCCAAGAACAAGGGCTGGCATATAAACAGGACTGTAGGTCACAACAACCAGGCTTGTAGCGGGAAGGCCGAGTGTACACAGCCCTTACTTAAGTAAGTGTATGAAACCAATGGCATGATATTAGGACTTGTTCTGCTACAACTAAAAAAATAAGTGAATCCCCACCATGATTAAGTCATGATTGACATAGATGAAAAAGATCTACAAAAGCAAAGGAATCCACTCTTGCTACCACAGAGCAGAAGGCAAAAGACCAACTCCTTGGGAAAACATCTTAGGAAAGTGCTTCCATTTTTAATTTTTAGAAGTTACGACAAATACAATTTTGCTTGACTCAACTTAACTTACATCATAAATAAAGTACTATGTCTTTAGAATAAGCTATTTTTCCTTTTTTATTGTCATAATTTCAACTGAATATTTGTTTCTATAATGTGTAAGAACAGAACAATGGCCCTACTCCATCTGTCAAGGTCCAGTGAAGAGAAACAAGTCTAGGTCTTGATAAACCCAAGTTTTTATGGCAATGTATGAGACTAGCACTTTACCACTGAACTATGTCCCCAGTCCTAAAAAAGTAAGTTAATATAGAGAACTGGCTATACACATGATAGAAGAGCTAAGAAACCAAATGGGTATTAGGTAACCCAAAGATGGTGACAGCAGTAAGCAGCTATGACTCTTCAGACTGGAGGAGCTGGGTGTTCCTGGTGACAGCAGCAGGGCAGGAGTCACTGGGTAACTGTTCAATGAGAGCTGAGACCACAGAGGAGCCTTACACCAAAGCTACTGAAGGAAGCAGAGAGAGAATAAGAAATCCCTGCTTCCCATCAGCCCCTGTTCTTAGATCTTTCACCAGTGCTCCCCAGTGGCTACACCAAGTGGGAAGCCAGAGCCAAGACAGCTTGGGAAATGAAGCTCCCTATCATTTGAAGATCACAAAAGAGAAGAAAGTAGATCTTAGGGCAAACTCAAGACTGCAGTACAGTATCCTGTAATTACACATGCCAAAATTTCCACGACTCAGGAAAAGATCAAAAAGAATACCTTAGTTCCAGCTGGCTTCCAACTTATTATATAATAGGGTTAAGTTTTTTCACCTTTGTATCACAAGTAAAATGGAAGAGGAGGTTGGGAGTAGGTGACCTTTATTCTCTTTTCTGGACAATGAGTCTATGATTCTGTATTTCAAGTTTATAATTCTAAGAATAAAAAACAAATTTTTGTGTAAGGTCCAAAATCTCTTATTAATATAAGTGAATTTAGAATTCCCATTCTGATCTCTTTGGTCCTGGATTAACTTAACCTTAGTTAACTGTCCTGGTTTGAACTGTTTAACTACCTAGTGGGGGAGGCAGCTAGTGCTCACCGCCTCCCAAGAGCAGCTCAAATCACCAGATAGGTGGGGTCAAGGCATACTTAACCCAGAAAATTCCACCTATTAGATATCCCCCCGGCAAAGAAGTCCATTTTTTTTTGTGAACATAGAAAAAATTTATTTTTTTATTAATTTTATTGAGAAACAAATGGCAATGAGACAGTTTCAAAACCCATTAGTAGGGCAGTTTCAATAATTAATACATTGCATATTGTTGTCTTCATAGTGGTTATTCATAGTACAAGATGCAGGATGATATCCTGTCCAAACACCATTAGTACAAATCTTTCTTCTCATTGAATTAAGAGAAAGTAATTGTATATCTATCCTATTTTGTATATACAGATACAAAATGGTCCTTCATTTGTATCCCCTTTTTTGGTTTAGTTTTGTCAGAGATGGGCATTCTATTGTCATTTAAATATTGTAGGTACGTGAATTCAGCAAAATAATCCAATATAGTCCAGTAGTCCATAAGAGTAGTGGATTATTCTTAGGACTGGCACTGTCAAAAGTTGTTGACTTGAGCCTTTTACAGCTCAGTATATTAATATGGCAAAGAAGCCCATCTTAAAGGAGAGTCTCAAGAAGGAAAAGAATTACCAGTGAAAAGGAGATTATTTCTATTGGCCAAGAGGTAGGTGTCACTCCTGCTTCCTCTGACAGTGGCTTTCTTTATCACAGAAGCAGAATGCAACCCATAATTTTCCTTATTCAAGTATTTCAGAAAGTGTTGGGCATGGGGTTGGAGTTGAGGTTGGGGGTTGGGTTGGGTTTTGATCAAAAAGAGGAGAATCTGGGATTGTAGCACAGTGCAAAGGCACTTGGTTCAATTGCCATTACCAAAAACCAAAAATAGTTCCATGAAGGTTCTTCTCAACTACATGTGCTTACAAAGTTAAATCTATTTGAGATATTTTAGAGATATAAAGTAAAACGCCCCTCCCTAGAGCTCTCCTAAGTCTTATTTATTTATTTATTTGGGCTTCCTATTGGAGAATACTGCAGAGGCAGAATTAGGATTTAGTTAGTGGTTTGCTGAAGGAGCAGAAGAAAAAGGACAGCTTCTGATTTTGCCCATGACCCCTGCCTTCTGCTACTCAACCCATATGTGGTCATACCCACACCATACTAAGACCAGGGTTGGTCTTGACGGCCAACACAATATGACAGAAGTGAGGGCATGGCACTTCTGAAATGACAGAAACATTACTGGCTTCTCTTTTCAGGCCTCTCTCACTCCCTCCTCCCCACCTTCATCACTTGCTCTGGGAGGAGGCTGCCAAGACACTAAGGCAGCACACAGAGGAGCCCATTTGGTTAAGAGAAGATCTCTGGCCAACAGTCAGTGAGAAACTGAGGCTGCAACACCACGGTGAGTGGGCCTGGATGAGATGCTTCTATCTCCAGTCAAGTGCAGTGATGCCTGCAGGCCCAGAGGGCAGCCTGACTACAGCCTTTGGATAGATTCAGAAACACAGTCACAGCTAAACTACTCCTGGATTCCTGATCCTCAAAAACTGCGAGATAGTAAATGTCTGTTCTCTTAAGCTGCTTAATTTGAGGTAATTTGTTATGCAACTCATATTAGTCAGCTTTCCCATCACTGAGACACAATACCCAACTTTCCTGGCTTAAAGGAGAGATTTATCTGGCTTGGTTTCAGAGGAGTCAGTCCATAACCAGTGAGGACCCAGGGCAGAAACTTGGTGAAAAGGTGCAGCAGAAGAAAGCTGCTTAGTTTTTGGTGGCCAGGAAGCATAGCAGGGGAAGAGTACCAGAGTAGAAGGTGCAAGGAGCCAGACATAAGCCCAAGATCATGCCTTCATTATCTACCCAAACATATCTCAAAGTGTGTTTCACTGATCCCTGGGATGGATCCCTATACTACTCAAGTTGAAACTATACCCTAACCACCACATCCCATCCCTTCTCAACTTGGCAACCTAAATCTATTTCCTTTAAACATACTTAATCTCCAAATAAAGACAATAGCAAGTTTATGACTGTGCCTAACACAATGCAACTATCCCACATACAACCAGAAACAGAATCCCTTTCTCAAAGTTTCAAAGTTTCAGGATTCTACAAAAATCTAGTGCAAGTCTTTTTTTGAGACCTAAAGCAAACTCTTAGTCTGTGAGCCTCCATAAAAGTCAAAAGCAAGTTATATAATCCCAAGGTACAATAGCACAGAATAAACATTCCCACTCTAAAAGGGAAAATAGGATAGACTAGAATTAGACCAAAGCAAGACTGAAACTCAGCAGGGCAAATATTAAGTCCTGTAGCTCCAAATTTGGCATCCAGGGCACACAGTAGTAAAATATGAGTTCCAAAGGGCTTGGGCAGCCCCACCCCTGTGGTTTTGCAGGTTGCAACCCATAGAATCTCTCTCTTGGGCTGGCCCCATTCACCGCCTACAGCTTTTCTTGGCAGGAATTCTACATTTCTGGTGTCTCCAGTCTCTTGAGGTCTACACTGTGCATTTGGCTTCATCCCATGGCTTTATGCACGGCCCTCACAGGGTCTCCTTGCCTGGACTTGCCAGTAAAACCAGCATCATGTGGGTGATACCAAAGTCTGCTGTCAGTAGAAGCAGTAGTCAGGCTCCTTTATACCACAACTGCAACAGCCTCTGAGTGCCTGGATGGCAGAGGAGGGAAAAGGAATCCTGGTGAACCAATTCCCTAAGAGGTCCTTCTCAAGCAGGGGGTCCCACAGACTGTTCACAGAAGAAAGATGGACATTTCTGTACCCTTGAGCCTTTGTGCTCCTAGCCTCCTCTTTTCTTGACCTTTACTGTTTCTCAATTGCAGGTTTACCCCTCCCCTTCCCAACATGCCCAAACCAAGTGCCAGAGACTCAGACTATAACCAAAGCTCTTTGATCTTTTACAACATAGTATCCCTTTCTATGTCTCTCATCATAGTACAAATAGCTGAAAACAATTTAAAGTTAGGCTATTATACTTTAAGAGAGATGAAAGCTTTATCCTCTGGATACATTCTCAGATGGAATCTGGGCACATGCCAGCAGATGGAGGACAGGTACACATGGCATAGTCTTTCCAGAGACATCGA